CCTACACCCTAGGCCTGGTAACCTTCAAGCTTTACTCAGATGCTTCGGGTTGGGGGTTCAGTGGTTCGGGGTTTAGGGCTTACAGTAGAAGCCAGAAAGTTGGAATATCATTATCTTAACCCCTTTAAGGTAAATTATAGGGGGTCCTACCATTAATCCATATTCCAACTTTCTGGAGTTCCCTTTAGGCGTTCAGCTTGAGGGTTCAAGTTTTCAACTTTCTTCCTCAGAGCCCGACTTGCAGGATTTCAGTGAGATTCAGGGGTTTAGGGTTTAAAGTTTCAGGGTTTAGGCTTTAAGGTTTCAGGGCTTAGGGTTTCAAGTTTCAGGGTTTAGGCTTTAAGGTTTCAGGGTTTAGGGTTTGAGGTTACAGGTTACTGCTTAGTTGTGGCGATTACAAGCCTAGCTACCAATTCCCGGGTCTCATCCCTGATCCTTTAAGCAAGAGCTTTCACGCAAAGGCCGTGGTGGCAGCAGTCCTGCTTCTGGCCACGATCACCGGGTGGGAGTCCCGCCGATTAGCATCTGCTGGATAATTAAGGGTGTAAAGGTTTGGCATTCTGTTGGATGCGGTCTAGGGGTAATTAACAGGGATGTACTCTCTCCTTATAGCTATAGCATGCCCCGACTTCCAAATCTTATTACAGTAAGCCTTGTAAAGACTGATGAAATCCTCCTTCTCCCTCCCTCTTTTTATGTTTATCTCCATCTCTATCTCCTATCTCCTATGTCTACCCCTACCCCGACCCCTATCCCCTACCCCTATCCCCTATCCCTATCTCTATCTCTTCTGTCTCTATCTCTATCTTTGTCTCTAGCTCGATCTCTTCTCTCTCTCTCTCTCTCTCTCTCTTTATCTCTCTCTCTCTCTCTCTCTCTCTCTCTCTCTCTCTCTCTCTCTCTCTCCCCCTATATATATATATATGTATATATATATATATTATATATATCTATGTATGCATGTGTATGTTCATGCATACACACATCTAATAAGAGTGTTTGGGATTCGGCATTCAGTCTGCACAGCGGCAGCTTCGGGCTTGCTTGTTGTGGCTTTGGGCTGCAGGGCGGTTGATCATAGCTACCTGGAGGATCATGGGACTTAGTAAGTAAGGTTTAGGGTTCTAGAATAGGGTTCCTCAAAGGGATCTACAGGGGTTCTAAAATGGGGATCATGGGACTTTGTAAGTAAGGTTATGAGTACCTTAATTGGGGTGATAAGTAGTTATAAGTATAGTTACCCTAATTATAACCCTAGTTACTAAGTCCCATGATCCTTTAAGCACCCTTTGTTGCTGAACAAGCGCCGCAGGATTCAAGATGCCTATATAGGGTTTAGGGTTAAGGGTTTGGGGTTTAGGGTCTAGGGTTTAGGGTTCAGGGTTTAGGGTTCAGGGTTTCGGGTTTAGGGTCAGAGTTTAGGTTTTTATAAAAATACCGCGAAAAGACGGGGGTTGCCGCTGGAAATGACAAACCTAGACCCTACTAAACTAGAGATTTAAACGGGTGAGCAGGGAACCATTCAGAAGAACTCCAACAGAGTCTGATAATCCCATTTCCAAAAGCTCCTAAACTACGTGGCTCTGGCTTAGAACATTGTAGTGGCTTGAATAGTTAGACTATACCATAACTTTGTGTAACAGAATTGCCTTTATGAGGACATGTTTTGCTAGAGTTTGCGCGCAGTCTATGATAGACTGATGTCCAGGCTTAGGCTAGTGTAAGGATAAGGTTAACCCCCCCCCCCCCAACCCACCCCCCCCCCCCAATCCATGACTATATAACCTGCCCAGGGATTGACTACATTTCCCCCTTCATGGGTGCCTCCGCGACTCCGCGAACAGGGTTCAGGGTTTAGGGTTCAGGGTTTAGGGTTTAAGAGCTCGAAATCCGAATCTGCAGACCTCAGACGATCTAGAAGCCCACGAGGCTGCAAGAGCCCTACTTGGAGGTTCATGGGTAGTTATAAGTAGGGTTATAAGTCCCGGAATAGGAGTTATAAGTATAGTTTCCCTACTTATAGCCCCACTTATAACTACCCATGAATCATGAATCTCCAAGTAGAATGCCTGAAGGGTTTCAATGTCAGCGTTGCGTTTTTTCAAGCCATAGCTCACTCACTCCTCAGCCTCCTGCGTCATATGTATTGCTGTATAATTTCGACACCTCCAGAAACCCTTCTAAGCTGTGTCAGTGGTTTGGGTTTAGGGGCTTGGGGTTTGCGGTATCGGGTGGCCAGAGTGCAATTTTCATGCCGGTGGTTTGGATGGAAGGAGCTTTACACAAAGTAAGCTGGGCTTGCACCCTAAACCCCAAACACGTCCGACTTGCGCCTGGAACGACTACAGAATTCCATAAGAAGATGCAGGCTCAACCTCCGGGCGGTGGCACAAGAACCATCTGCGGCTGACGTTGAGGTGGCTGCCATGTTTTGGGGAAGGGTAGCTGCACACTATACACCACGAGTTCTGATTTCCGACACCCCAGACCCTAAACCCTGAACCCACAGCCTAAGCCATAGTATATAACCCCTACACCGGGCAATTGTTTCGTCGTTTTGTTTGTGGGGTGGCTAGGGTTGCAAGTGCCCGCGGTCTCAGGGTGATGGTCTCAGCCAGTACAGCCCCACGCATATTTTTATGGAGCCCGGATAAAGCACTTGTAGAGCCCGGCTTCAACACTTACCGATTACATAGAGAGCCCTTCTAGAAGCCTTATTTAGAGGGCTTGCATAGAGTTGCAGACGACTAAACCCTAAATCCTAAACCGTTCAGAGCACATCCTACCCGCTGAACCCCGCCGTCACTACTCGAAGTCCGAAATGCCAACACCCGAGGTCAGGGACCTCCCAGGACCCTTGAAGTATAAGGTTTTTGGGGTTTGGGGTTTACAAGGATATTGTATCCTCAGATATAGAGGTTTTGGGGTTTGGGGTTTAAAAGGATATTGTATCCTCAGATATAGAGGTTTTGGGTCTGGGTTTACAAGGATATTGATATTGTATCCTGAGATATAGAGGTTTTGGGTTTGGGGTTTAAAAGGATACTGTATCCTCAGATACAGTTTTGGCCCTTTACCACGGACTAGTGAGTACGTAGGCTAGAAGAGAGGGTAGGTGCAGGGACTAGGTTTGGCCCCGCAGTGCTGCCCCGAACCCTGGGCCCGAAACCTTAAACACCAGGCTCGGCCCGGAATGAGCCCGCAAATGCATTTTTTTTCCGGGTCGGGTCGCCGGAGTCAGTGTGCCGTGCAGAGTGTAGGCATTGCCCGTAGTAAGGAATATACCATTATTCCCATAGTTTAGGGTCCTGAAGAAAAGGTAATGCAGGATTTAAATCATCAACCATCTAGAGTGGGTTCAGGGGTCTTAGAGGCTTGGGGCTCGTTATTGATTGGGTGTTGCTTGACGAATGGAATTCGAGGCCGGGGTGTCTCAAATGTGGGCCTGGGACAGGCGTGAATATGCCCTTGTTTGCTCTGTAACCCTAAACCCTCAATAGAACACCCCTTAACTCTACCTCGTTAGGGTTCATCTCGAAGGATAGTATTTTCGCCTGGGCTTTGCAGCTTTACACACCTCTCCTGCCTTCAACTACACTAGTCTCTGAATCTTAAGCCCGCAACCCCAAGCTCTAAACCTTAGACCCTAACCTAGCCTGAAATTTTTAAACCCCGAGACCCTAAACCTCAATCTGCTAAGTATCCAGAGCTATATCTTGCACTCAGAAAGTTCAAGGATAACTATACCTTCAACTCATATTGGAGGACTTAGAACCCTTCTTATAACTACCCCTAAACCCTAAGCCCTATAGATCCCTTGTGGATCCCTTTAAAGGAACTACCCATGAACCTGCCACTACCTAGCCTTTAAATTAGGGTTTAGGGTTTAGGAATCGGAAAGTTTAACCTTGTATTTCTGTGTCTTTCTGGGGGTGGTAAGATGAACCTTGAACTTTAAAGCTGACTCTGTGCTAGGCCTTCGAGCAGTAAACCCCAGGCCCTTTGAACCTTTCAATGAACCTTGATATGCAGACTATACTTGGAGGTTCATGGGGAGTTATTAAGAGTTATAAGTATAGTTACCCCACTTATAACCCCACTTGTAACAAGAATACCCCTGAACCTGCAAGTAGGAGTTTAAGGTATTGGAAGCCCTGCGGCCCTAGACCTCAAATCCTAAAGCCCGCGGTTTAGGGTTTACCGTTTAGCGTGAGCCGAACACCCGAAGCTCCGAAGCTGTACGGGACTTCAGGGGCCCTGAACTACTTGGAGCATCATGGGACTTAGTAAGTAAGGTTGTAAGTACCTTAACTGGGGCTATAAGTAGTTATAAGTATAGTTACCTGAATTGTGCCCCTAGTTACTAAAGTCCCATGATCCTTTAAGTATGCCCTACCTTAAAAGCGTTAAGCCCTGAACCCTGAAACCCTATGAGCCCTAAACCCCAAAAGCCTAGAAGCCCTAAACTTTTGCAACCTAAACCCCCCCTCAAACTCTACGCCCTACCATGGCCTCCCCTGAGCTTAATCGCCCGACGCCTTTCTGCGGCTTCTGCTCAAAGTCGACGGACTGTGGAAGTAGAGTCGGCTTGGATGTGCCGAAGCCCCAAGCCCGCAGCAAGAACCATCCAACAAAAAACGGGGCTTCAGACTTGAGTTTAGGGTTTAGGGTTTAGGACTTCTGTGTTCCGATTTCTTCGACAAAGGTGACTGGGGCGCCAAGTAAAACTCGCACCCGAGGACAGCCCGGTGCTTGCACCTGAAGCCTTAAGTGTGTCGGGTCTTCCCTAAAGCCTAAACCCAAAACCCATCACCGAGTAGACAGACACCAATCAAAAACCCATTTGGGGGTCCTTATAACACGGATCCTACTTTTGAGGGTACTATATTAGGGTCCCCTATGTTCGGAGACTCCCATATGAAACCCATAATAGAAGCATCTTTAAGCAAGCCGTTCGAGGATCCTCGGCCTTGCGTTTAAGCCTTTTGGACAAAGCGCCCATGGCGGACGCATTGGAACTCGATGGATTTCACAAGCAGGTTTCCGTGGCCCGGCTCGTGTCAAATGTGATTGCATTTCATGTGCTTTGTGTATTATTTGATTGAGCCTAGTAGCCCAGTGCGACCGTTTTCGGGAATTGTTGTAAGGGTCTGAAGCGTGGATGTATCAGCTTTCATAGATCTTCTGCGCACATGATAGTTTATGCTTCCAGATGCGGTTGGACACTGCGCAGCCTAGTGCACACCACGACACATGTAGACATGCATGAAATGTGAACAAGTACAAGCAGCATGCATGCATTAGACCAAAGCTCCTTTATTTCGCGTACTTCTATCTTTACAGACATATGACACATGTACTGATGTTTAAACCCTGAACCCTGTGCACATGAACGATGACCAAGACAGGGGATGACAGTACGGCTCGTGGAGGGAGTTGTGAGGATCTGTGGTAAGACTGTGCGTCCTGGGGTCTTATGTCTCATTCGCCTACTCTATGAGGGATTCCTTCTGCGAGATGGAAAAAGGCATTCAAAAAAATATGAACCCTAAACTTGCCTTTGGTTAGTAGGGAATGGAAGAATGGTAGTAATAGAAGTTATAATTGTACCCCATTCCTGAATTCCCTACTAACCCTAAACTCTTAACCCCTAGACCCTAAACCCCTAAGCCCCTAAACCCCTAAACCCTAAACCCTAAACCCCTAAGCCCGAATTAAACCCTCCATTCCCTACTAACCAAAGGTAAGTAAACTCTGAACTCCTGCTCGTGGGCGAAGCCCGAGCCTGATGTGGAGCTCAGAAGGGTCAAGCAGGGGTGGAGGATCAGGTTCTAGAGTTTTTAGGGCAATTCTGGTTGAGGTTTTGGGGGGATCTGCGGTTGAAGGTGGTCAACCTTCGATGCTTCCCACGATCTCCAGAAAAAAACCCAGTTTCAGCGATTTCCTGGCAAGAACAAAAAACAATTTCCGCAATTTCCAGTTAGAAAACGCCAGGAAATCGCTGAGAATTGATTTTTCCTGCCCGCAAATCGCTGAAAATTGTTGTTCTTGCCAGGAATTCGCTGCAAATCGTTTCTTCCTGCCCGGAATGAAAATGCTTTTTTTTCCTGCTCGGAAATCCAGGAAAAGTGTTTTTTCCTGCAAGGAACTCGCGGAAAATTGTTTCTTCCTGCCCGGCCTAGGGTTTGGGCCCCAGGGTTTAGGGCCTAGGGTTCTTAGAGTTTGGGTCTAGGGTTTAGGTCCTCGGGTTCGGGCTTTTAGGATTTAAAGCCTAGGGTTTGGTCTTTACAGTTAAAAGCCTAAGGCCGAGGGTTTGGGCTTCAGGGTTTAGGGCCTCGGGCTTATCGCCTAAATTTGGGCTCGAGGATTTAGGGCCTAAGGTTTGGGCTTTAGGGTTTAGTTGGGGTTTGTTGGCTGGCTTTAGGGTTTAAGGCCCAAGGTTTTGGGCTAGCTTTGGATTGTAGGATGTATATAGGATTCGAGCTTGGGATTCAGGTGTGGGTGGGTGTTATATCAAAGTTGTAAATATACAGTTCTCCAACACTTTTTGGACCGGGGCTGCTGAACCCGCAACCCTAAAACCCTAAACCGTTAAACAAAAACGGCCTACTCCCGTCCAAATCCTAAAGCCCTAAATCCGAATTCCTAAGCCCTAAACCCTAAACCCTAAACCCTAAGCCCTAAGCCCTAGACCTCCGAATCCGGAGCTCCAAAGCCTGCAGTGGGGCCCTACAGACCCTAACATAGAGACGTGAGTATACAATGAGATGTGTGTGTTGTAGGTGTTTCGTAGCTGTAAGAGAATATGCACCAAGCTCCTGTTCTAGTTATGAGGGCCCCTACAACCAAAGCTGCCTTCGCAGCCGTAAGGCACGGCATAAAGCCCTGTCGCAACCTGGAAGTAGGCGTCCCTGTTGGGATTTCAAGTTCCTCTACTTCGAGTCTGTATTGGTGTTCGCTCTTTTCGGAAAAGCCCGATCCCACCATGTTGTCGTGGCCCAGCGTCTCGTCTTCTGCTGCAACTTAGCCTTCGGCCTGTAGCTAGAAAAGCGTGGCGACTCCCAGCCCGAAGTCCTAAGGTTTAGGGTTTAGGGTTTAGGGTTTAGGGTTTGATGCGCATTCCAAGCCCTGAGATCCGTGAACCTCACTCATCTAATATGGGAGCCTAAGGAATTAGAACAGGCTTCGGGTCAGGTTAAGCGTATAGTGTACTTACAGAGAGACTATAAGATCATGCTATGCTGACTATGCCGGCCCAATACTATTTGTCCAGCCCTTGCTTCCGACTAAAACTGTATGTATATATACATATATATATATATATATACACATAAACATATACATACATATATACATATATACATATATACATATATATATATATATATACATATATATATATATATATATATATGTGTATATATATATATATATACATGTATACATGTATACATATATATATATATATAACCCCCGAAGCCTACTAAGGTATACTCAAACATCTCCAGGACGATCAGCCACAGGGGGGTTGGGGAAGGCTTTGTGTTTGAGGTCCGAAGTCTGGGTGTCAGCATTGCCAGGTTCAGGGTTGTGCTCAGAGATTACCTAAAGGATCATGGGACTTAGTAACCTTCAAAGGGCTCCTTAAAGGGCTCCTTTAAAGGGATCTATAGGGTTCCTTAAATGGATCTATAGGGTTTAGGGTTTAGGGTCTACTTAAAGGATCATGGGACTTAGTAACTAGGGTTATAATTAGGGTAACTATACTTATAACTACGTATAACCCCAATCAAAGTACTTATAACCTTACGTACTAAGTCCCATGCTCCTCCAAGTATGTCTGTTTAAACTCAAGATTCAGAACTTAGGGTCCAGGGTTGTTCAAGGTGTAGGGGTTGTTCAGGCTTGGCGGTTATTTTGAGTAGTGGTAAGCCCAAACCTGTTCAGCCACATAAGCCCAAAGAGAAGAGGCCGTGAGTGGTGGGCAATATTCTTCCGCTGTGGTCCTTTCCCTACATTATCCTATGCCCCAAAATCCTGTTCGAAGTGTGAAGGCCTCAAGAAAACATACCCTGAAGGTTCATGGGTAGTTATAAGTGGGGTTATAACTCCCCTAATACGAATTATAAGTATAGTTACCCTACTTATAACCCCAATTATAACTACCCATGAACCTCCAAGTAGCAACTGAAACAGGCCTCGATGTTTTGCATGTCGAGGCCCCCAAACCTGAACCCTTCACAGTTTAACGAGAGAACCTGGTAGCACTAGTCACTAGGGAATGGGGGAATGGATTATGGAGACTATGATTGGGGATTATATACCACTATGGGCTGTTAGACATTATGGGTACCTTAATCTACCCTTAATAGGGTCCTAATAGGGATCTTTAGGGTCTAATAGCCCATAGTGGTAGGGACTGCCAGGGATCCATTCCCCCAGTCCCTACTAAGCACCTGGCAGTTTAACGAGAGGACCCGGTAGCACTAATTGAAAAAAGGCGCTTTTCTTACTTGCACATGAGTGGCAAGCCCTGATTCTTCCGGGGCCCGGGGGTGTCGGGCTGTCTGATGAACTGTCTTCCCTAAAACCTAGACCCCAAGCCTCAACCCCATAGTGCACTAACGATGCTTTCTGAAACCTTCCCTTGGCGGCAGGATGTCGGACCCTGACACTTTAGTTGACCCAGAGGTTTTCTCGCGGCAGTGCACTGAGATTGACGATGCTGGGATCTCTCAACTAGGGTTTAAGGGTGCATTTGGCGTTTGTTGGGCTTTAGGGGTTGTCCAGGTTTTCAGCATCGACGGTGGGAGGTCCGTGCAATGAGTGCTTCTACAAAGTACGGTTTTGTCGAGATCTGGAGTTCCACCAGCACGTACGGCACCCCAGCAATCGCCAAATCTGTTCCTGAAGATTCGATCAAACAGGTGCCTGAGTAGTTACCGTGAATTACCGAAACTACTCCTAAGGCTTCCTTGGTTGGGTGATATCTGTCTTCCGGGTGCGGCTTTCAGGCTCTTCAAGCCGGTTTTCAATGAAGCTTCCTGCACTCTGGGCCTAGGTTAGAGTTTAGGACTTTAGGCTTTAGGGGTTTAATGTCTAGCGTTTAGGGAGTTGACGTTGGGTTTTGGTGTGCTATTTGGGGTAGCAGATCTCCCCTCTGCAATATTGCAGATCTACATCCCAAACCCCAAGTAGCTTGCGGCCTACGCCCGTACCCTAACCCACAGCTCTACGACATCCCCCAGCCCAACGGCTATAAACCCTAAACCCTTCGAGTTACCTGAAAAACTTGCACCCATACCCTCAAACTCTACGGCCTAAACCTTGCACCAAAAGAGTCTCTGTGTCCCCAAGCCTGGAGTTCTTGCTAGATCCAAAGCCTTAAAAACCCAACCCTAAACATAAGCCCTAAGGCACTCGCGTAAGCCTGAACTCTAAACCCTAAGCCAGCCAACCAACCAACCAACCTAAACTCTGAACCCTGACACCCTAAACCCTTATAGTAACCCCTAGAGATCCCTTTGAAGGAACCCTAAACCCTAAATCCTATACATCTTTTGTTTTTTTTAAAAAAAAGTCCTATACATCTTCAAGCTCAGGAGATTGCGACCAAACTCGTGGACCAGGCCTTCGTCGAGGCTCACTTGGGTTGTGTCCCAAAAGAGCCCGGTTTAGGGTTTAGGGTTTAGGGTCACAAACTACCGACCTAGGGATGTTCGTTTCGGGTTTTAAGGGTTTAGGACTCCGAACTATACTAGGCATCGTTTTTGGATACTGTTCATGCTTCGTGATTGTTTAGTATCGCTCCCTACTTGTAAGTAATTTTGGGACGGTTGAAATCGACACCTGTTATGACTCTTATAGGGGTTCTATAAGGGTGCACAAGGGACTCCATAATGCAGGTCCTCCAAGGCGTCTACAAGGGTCTTATTGGGGCTCTGTAAGGGCTTAAGGGTTCTATATTGTAGGTCATGGTTTAGATAACAAGTTCTATATTCTAGAATCCCAACCATAAGGATTAATCAACGAGAGCAACGAACTACAGTGAAGAATGTAGGTACTATCCAAATCCGAAAGTGAAAAACCCTGGAAAGGAAGCAATGAAAGATGCGATCAAAGATTGCCGCTTCTGCGTGCCTCGGACATGATATGTTTAGGGTTCTTCAGCGGTACAGACAGACCAGACCTTCACAGCTGGAATGGATCTGCGAGAATCGCGCTCTTTCTGGTGGTAGTTTCATGGTAAACGAAGCAAAGCTCTTCGATTATGGTAGCTGCTTCAGCTAGACCCCTTGAACCGAAACCGCGTAGACCCAAATTAATGCCCGGCCCGCTTGAGAACGCCATCGGGCCATCAACCGCCACGGGCAGATCTGTCGAAGCATGTCTTTTCTTTTAGGGTTTAGGGTTGTGTCGGAGTGGTGGCCTGCAATCAGAATCAGGGGCTTGCGTCACACATAACTGCATCTCTTGGAGTTTGTTTTAGCTGTCAGTCTCTAAGAGTCAACCCGAACAGCACTTTGCTTGGAGGGATGTATGCTGGTGTCATAGCGACACTTGTAGTCGGGCTTAGGTAACCCACCTTTCGAAGTAGAACCCGACCCCCAAACCCTCGATCCACTAATATAGGGCCCAAATAATTACGAATACAATTTTAGGGGTTCCGTTTATAACTATAGCAACTATAGTATAATGGGCCTCCAATCCTATTCTAATTATGATAAGGCCCCGATATTAGCACAAAGAAGGGCAGTGCTTATCAGCTCCCTTAAAAAGAGCCCAGGCTTCATGCAATGTCCGATGTTCTTGGAAACTTTGCATCTCTCCAAGTGTTGGATGTTGTGTAGGGCATCAGGTATTGACAAAAAGATCAAAGCGATTCAAATGAAGTTGTACTTGTAGTAGTTCAACTTGAGCAGTAGCAGTTGCAGCAGTCGCAGTAGTGGCAGCATGGCGATAGTAGCAGACAGCAAGCAGCAGCAGGGCTAGCAGAACTATCAGTAGTACTATAGTACTGGTAGTGACAGTAGTAGTACGACTAGTTAGTAGTAGTGGTAGTAGCAGTCGTCTCCGTCGTCGTAGTAGAAGCAGCCGCGGCTTGGGCAGCGGTTCTCAACATCAGGGAACCATCGTTAGGCTACGTTAAGCGGTCGGGGGAACGAAACTTAGGTGACTATAGCTGCCCCACAAGCGGAGGACTGTCCATGAAATGAGGGCTTATTGTTTCGGGGGTTGTTGAAAGGGGTTTGTTGTGGTCTGGGGTTGATATTCAAGCCATCGGGTCGAAACAATGCTTCTTGGTTGGGTCTGTGTTTCGAGGTGCTTCACTATGATGGATTTAGCGTGATTCTGTTGTTCGTTCAGTCTTCACGCAAGAGGTTCTTGTTCTCGGCTGTCTTGCTCGAACTATGTCATTGTGGTTCTTGGTTTTAGAGGTAATACCGCTGGCAGGTGTTGTGAGTTTGTTTCAACCTTGATTGTCAAGCCTGCAACTGTTGCTCCAAACATTTAAAGTTAGAGACCAGCAAGAGCAAAAAAACCGTGGACGCCCTATTCATGGAGGCTTCTTCGCATGCACAACTGAAGCTGCACCCTCCAATCTCAAGCCCTGAAGTTTCGGGTTTAGGGTTCTGGGTCTTGGGGCTAGGGTTTAGGGTTTTTGGGTCTGAGGTTTCGGGTTCATGCTTTCGGATTCAGGGTTCTTTCAGGTTTGAGGTTTCGGCTTTAGGGCTTTTCTGTGAAATGCGTAGTTAGCACTCGCTACTTCAGACAGGTTGTGTAGATGGCACATACCCCTAACGCTCCAGCTACTTTTAAAGGGTAGGTACAAATCATAGGCAAGGGAACCAGTGATCCAATGTGAAGGCCTAAATTCTTGAAGCGATCCTGAGACCCCAAATGCGGCTCAGTTTTTGCGGGTTCGAGGACCTCAACCCGAAACCCTAAAGCCCCCAAGCTCTAAGCCCCAAAGCCTTGAATTCCAAATCCGAGACCCTAAAGAAGTTTCAGGATTGTCCCCTCATCGCAATCTCAGACGAGTTCGCGAGCATGACCGGCTACCGGCGAGAAGAGGTCCTGGGAATCTTTGGCTTGAAGTCACGACCACCCGTACACGCCCAAGTATGGAAGTTGGCTCCTTACGCACTTGTTTCGGGACTATGGGGGCATAGTGCTGTTGGCAGTTCCATCCCTTTTATTATAGGTTTAAGTTTCGGCGCTTGAGGCTTTGGCACAATTATACTGACATCCAATCAGAGTACATACTTGATGCGCAAGTGCCAAATAAATCAGCGCGAGCTTCGCAAGCACTTCTTTCTCTTGGCGCTCCTGTGCTCTGTGCTCAGGAAAGAATTGCCGCTTTCTCAACCGCCGCGCGGCATGGGAATTCCAAAACGTCACTCACAAACTCCAGCCCGGGATTTAGGTAGCAGAGTTCTGTGAAGTGACGGGAGGTAAGGGGAGGGACCCTAAACCCTAAACCCTAAGCCTTAAACCGCGGGCGGGCTGAAGCCACAAACCCTCTGGAGTGATGTAGGGGCCTGAGCCAAGATCAGGGCTTCTTAGTGATCCACTTTAATATACACTGAAACCCTATTCCCTCGTACTCGTCCCCCTGCCCAGCCGCCGAAATCCGAGGTAATTGCTATTTGGAGCCGAGCACATTCGCAGACCTGCGCCATACCTGCACAACTGGAGCGCCGTTTAGTGGTACCATCCTCAACCGCAAGAAATCAGGCCGATCATGGGCGGCACATGTGGCGCTGTTCCACGTCGGGGCTGTTGGGTCATCGTAGTTCGGAGTGTAGAGCAAAGAGGCAGAGCGATGGCTGAGGTTTTAGTAGGAGCCATCGTTTGCTGTTCATCGTGTTTGGGACAGTCAACGATGAGACTGTTTGGAAGTCTTCAGTATAGATTGCACATGTCGAACACCTCCCGCCCCTCATAACACCACTAGCGCAGGTGCCTTCATCATCCCTTGTATCTGTTTTTGGAGTAGTTGATGCCATTTTTGAAAACAAATTATAAACGATGCTATTCCTACTATTACAAGCATTCAAGCCTCACATCAGCCGACATCCCAAGCGGCTGTCTGTGTTTTTTCGGGAAGGTCTGCAGCCTACTGAATCCTAACCCTAAACCCTTAAGCCCCTAACCCCTAATTCTCGTTGTTTTGAGCAGGGTTTACCGAGCCCTAGAGCCTGAGGTCTTGCAGCTGAGGGCTATCAGGTTCAGGCTCTAAGGGTTTACCTTAACCCCTGAATAACCCACCTTTTTAGGGTTCCTTATTATGACTTCATCATAAAAGTCCATAAACAGGTAGGTTATTCCGGGTTAAGGGGTTTAGGGTCGAGGGCTTGAGATTTGGTGGGGGCTGCGGGGCTGCAGCAAAAGTCGGCAAGGAAAGGCTGGAAAACTGCAATGAACGTAGTAGTAGTAGTAGTAGTAGTAGTAGTAGTAGTAGTAGTAGTAGTAGTAGTAGTAGTAGTAGTAGTAGTAGTAGTAGTAGTAGTAGTAGTAGTAGTAGTAGTAGTAGTAGTAGTAGTAGTAGTAGTAGTAGTAGAAGTAGTAGTAGTAGTAGTAGTAGTAGTAGTAGTAGTAGTAGTAGTAGTAGTAGTAGTAGTAGTAGGGCCTTGTGTGCCCTCGCGGTCCGAGAAGATCACGAGATCTTTTGCAATATGGCGCTCAAACCACCAAAGTCTAAAGCCCAAGCCCAGACCCTATACTTAAAGGAGCATGGGACTTTGTAACTAGGGTTATAATCAGGGTAACTATACTTATAACTACTTATCGCCCCCAATTACGGTACTTATAACGTTACTTACTAAGTCCCATGATCCTCCAAGTAGACCCTAAACCCTAAACCCTAAACCCTATAGATCCCTTTAAGCAACCCTACAGATCCCTTAAAGGAACCTTACTTACTACGTCCCATGATCCTCCAAGTAGGGTTCGTAGACCCTTCGGCCATCTTAGGCCTGAGGCTCCACACCCGGAGCCGACAACTCCGGAACCCTAGACCCTTCAGTCTACACCCAGAACGGTTGATGATATAAATCCTGCATTACCTGAGTGACCCTAGAATAAGGGAGTTATGGTATATTCTTTTTCATGGGTAATGCAGGAATTATTTCATCAACAGGAAGGACCTCAGAACCAAAGCTTCCTTGAGAGGCGATTTGTTTATGAACTTGATCAACTTGCAGGGCTTGGTGGTCGTGCCTTGCCTAGATCGGCTGCGAAAGGTTGATGTAGGGACCTTAATAATTAGAGTAGTTGTTTGTTTTTTTGGGGTCCTTACAAAAATATGGTATAATATCCCCTAAAGCCCAAGTCTTATTATTAAGGCCCCTCTACATTGGTGAAGAGTTTCTTCTGGGATGTCTGTTGGAACTTGGCGATGAGTTCTGCCGGTGGAGAGGCTAGGGTTGAGTTCATGATTCATGATGATAAAGCTGATGGTAGTAGCTAGACAGATTCTTAAGGGGTCTAGGGCCCTAGCTATAAGGTCCTGCTGAATGCTGATGACAAGCTCGAACAGGCGTGGTATCAGAAGCAGGAAAAGTAGAAGCTTGCCTGCCTATTTCTGGCAAGGTAACTTCTATGCACCCCAAGGGCTGGAACCGAGAAGCACGACTACTCTCTGAAGTCTCTGTCTAAGCCCTCATCCCTCCAGTCCCAAAACACCAAGGTCCGAGCCCAAAAGCCGCCATAGCAAATGATAGTCTGTTGGGTTTAGGGTTTTCTAGGGGTCGAATCACGGAAGCAGCATTAAGTCGAGCCTTGAGAAATTTGCGATTTGGTACCTGTTTGGCGCAAGCTGAACGACTTCATGATGTCACTTTGACCGTAAGCCCTAAAGCCGTAAAAAATATGCGGTTGTGAGCCGACGTGGACAGGCGATTAAAGTGACCGTCAACACAGCTTGAAAGAAAAGCTTAAACCCAGCTTATAATGTAGAAAGCTGCATCATTCAAGGCCCTCAATACTAGGATGCTCTTTCTATCCCTTAAAGGGCGAGGGGTGACTTTCGGTTTGCATGTTCTAACTAGTCGAAGGCCAATACTTATTACTTATAATCCTATAACCTTATAGAAACCAAATTAGACCCCTTCTTAAGAGACCTTTTAAAAGACGCCTTATTAAGAATATCAAGGCGCCACATCGATCGGAAAAAAACACCGCCTTGTCCAAACCCGAAACCCTAAACCCAGATTCTGCAATGCAAAGCATCAACTCTGACGGTTTGGGTTTAGGGTGTAGGGACTCTAAAGCCAAAGCCCCTGCTACAGGCCTCTAGCGCTAGTTCAAGCCTTTCAACTGGAAGCCCAACGCCCCAAGCTCCCCACGCCCACTTCCCCATGCTCTGGCCCCAGAAGCCTCTCGATCAGCCCTCGACCCCTAAGCCCTTAAACCCTAATTAAGCCTCTACCTTAAGGCTCCTGAACCCTTGTAGTGAGATCCAGGACCCTAGCCCCCAAAGCCGAAACCCTCCCCCAGAGAGCCCAAGACCCTCTTTGGAGCCTTAGGGTAAAGGGTAAACCCTTGCCTCAGGCAAACAACACTCGAGGGGAACCCCTGTGGTTCGTCGTTGGGATACAGGCCGTGTAGGGTTCAGGTTACGGTGCTTCGGCTTTAGGCTTTGGGTTTCGGGGTTCAGGGGTTTGGGTTTAGGGCTTAGAGGGCTGGGTCTGGGCTTCATGCCTCATGCTTTACACCGTCTGCACGATCTTGTTAGTAGGGATTTCTTTTTTGTGAAGACGGGTAGTTCAGGGCATCAGGGCTCGATGTTTAGAGTTACTGCTTTCGGCTTAACGCTGGCTATGTTAGATGAAGTTGTTTTGTGTTTTTACAATTTCTTCAAAAGGTTTGTCGGGGGCTTTGGGAATCGGATGGGTGGTGCAGTGGGATCCTTGCCTGCGGGGGTTGGGGCATCGCGGGTTTGCTTCAGGGTTGCAGGGTGTTGGGGTTTAGGGTTTGGGGTTTAGGGTTTGGGGCCCAGGATTTAGGGTTTGGGGTCCTGTAGGCTGGAGAGTTTCAACCATCCAAGGTAGGCCTCCGAGACATCACTTGCACGGCTCAGGGTTGAGATTGGCTGGGGTTCACGTGAGGCGTAGCTTGGAGCATGTGCCGTGTGATAAGGAGCATCAAGGCACAACGCCTCCGAACACAAGGCATGACATTGCCAAAAGATCCTAAGCACCTACACAGTTCCATAGTTGTATTTTGTGGAAGATGTAGCTAGTCACCTGCACCTACTGTCGTTCATTGGCTCAAGAAAATATGCGTCTGCATTCTGGCTGTTCTGCCTGTAAACATAGGTTATCAGCCGTAGGTCTCACTTCGTTTGTAGATCGCGATGGATGCTCCCGTAAATCCTGCAGGTATTCCCGCGATAGACATTTCCGCGGCTCGCGTCGATACCGAGGATCTCAGTTCTCTTCCTGCCATGTCCGTCCAAGACGATGGCACGGATCCGGCTGTCCCCGGTACCCGAGAGGGTGGCCAAGTTGTTCCTCTGACGGCAGAGGCCTTGGCCGTGATGGCCCAACCAGATCCCCGAAGAGGTGCACCAGGAGCGGTGTCAGAATGGGCATATGTCTCAAGCCCAGCGCACCAACTCGCATCCCTGGCGGGATCGCCTCAACAATATAATGCGGCCCAATATTCACCCAGCGAGATCAGAAACGTCGCGAACTACTATCAACAAAATGTCCTTGCGCCAACGGTGCAACAAGCAGTCCATGTGCATCAGGTAGACACAGGACCAGCCGTTGCAGCTGAAGCTGAAGCACGCCACAGATTGATCATGGCCGAAGCAAACAATTTGCATAGGGAGCAATTCAACCAGCTTCATGCACAGGCGCTATCCGGTGCTGCCCAACTTCGGTTGGAGTTTGCCCAAGCGGAGAGTCGTCTGCAACAGAAAGAAGAAATGCTTCGAGCAGCCGGCGAAAGCATGGCTAATAAGCACAGCGACGAGTTGTCGCAGATGCGACGTGAAGCCGTTGACTACAAGCTCAGGCTTCATCAGGCTGAGGTTACAGTCTCCGACGTTGTAGCCCAAGCTGAAAGAGAGCTGGCTAATCGAAGTCGGGCTAGCCAAGACACCGTTGCAGTCATGAATGGCGAACTAAGCCAACTCAAGTCTGAGATGGGTGCATTCATGCAAGTGCATCGCCAACAGGCTGAATCGATGACGAAGCTTGAGCGCACCAATGCCGAGCTTCGTGATCGCCTGGCGAAAGCCACGGCATATTCACCAACTGCCGTAGGAGATCAGTCTCCCATTGAACACCCTATTCATACCCCTCCGGGTCTGGGTAAAGTAGATGGTGGCCCGCCAGGTGGAGGTGGAGATGACTCGCCTCCCGAAAGCGACGGCGACGGGGATGAGCCCGATGACGATTCCCGTGACAAGAAGAAGAAAAAGAAAAAGGACAAAAAGAAGAAAAAGAAAAGAGACTCATCTGATTCATCATCATCGTCGTCTATCTCCCTATCTAAAAAGGACCTCCTGAAGATGTTCAAGAAAGTCGTTAAGTCGAAGAAAGACAAGGATGATGTCGAGGAAACCGAGGCGACAAGGGGAAGGCCCAAGGTGAAGGAAGCTGAGAAGATTGTGTTTCCAAAGTTTCCCCAGCCAGAGAACTATCGTAACTGGAGGCTTCGCGCACGCGAGGCTGTGGTCGCCGCCTCTGACCGTCCCGATGAGGCTTTCGAGTGGCTCGGTGAAGTGTGGAAGGATGATACCACGGAAGAGTCCCTTCGTGATCCTAACGGTTTCACAACGCTTGATGCGAAGATCCTCTCGGCAATCACAAACATTCTGGAAGGTGATTTTGCTCGCCAGATTGACACTTTTAAAGAGAGGGAAGGACACGAAGGACGCTTAGTTCGTGGCCGACAGATTCTACATAAGCTCAACGCTTATTTGTCGACCAACGCACTCCACGGGTCTGTGTACGATATGGAGGATCTGCTCAACGTCGTCATGCTTAACGAAAATCTTGTGCAATTCGTGCGTAACTGGGATACTGTCCTCTCAGGCATGAAGAAAGCACCTGCTGACGATGTTTTGCAACCCTTGTTTCATAGACAGGTTAAGAAGTGCAAGCTTTTGGCGCACGACATAGCCATCTATGAAAGGGCAGTAGACGGCACACAGGAGAAATCCTATGAATATCTGTACAATGCCGTTAACCGAGTCATCAAGATCAAACGGCTTGAGCGCAACCGGGAACGGATTGCAAGGCAGGCCGCAGCAGGTATGCCATCGGCACCCGCACCGCTAAAGCGTGTGCCCAAAGGCTTCTGCATTGACTTTGTTCGGAACGGTTCGTGCAACAAAGAAAAATGTTCCTATAAGCATCAGATACCCGAGAAGCCACGTGGTAGGACACCAAGCAAAGGTAAAGGCCGAGGCAAGTCGCCCTCCGCAAGGGGGAGCCCATCTCCTGGGAAGATTAATGCTGAGTGCAAATTCTTCAAGCATGGTAAATGCAACAAGGGTGACAAGTGCCGTTTCATACACAAAGGCCAGCCTTCTGCTCCTGCCACTGGTAGCGGTAGAGAGTCTAGCGGCGAAAAGAAGAGTAAGAAACAGAAGAAAGAAAAGAAGCATAGGAAGAAGTCTCGCTCCAGCTCTAAAAGTTCCAAGGGTAGTGGAGGCTCCAAGGGGAGCAAAGGCTCTGGGAACAGCAAGGGCTCGGGGGGGCGGAAACCTAAGGCTTCGCTTCCGGCCGCCGTCTGCCTCTTAGGCGCACTTGTCGCAGGTTCGGCATCCCAAGCCGATGCACACGCTTTCCGGAAGGAAATGCCGAACTTCATTGACTCGTGTGCAAGCACCGCTCACGTTGCTCTGGCATCTGTGCGATTCTCGAATGCTCCTGAGTATCACTACATTCCCACGCCCCCTGAATCTTCCAAGTGGCGTGAGGTTGAAATCGAGCCGTGGGTTTTCAGTGAAGAATTTCCTGTTAACTACAAGCCCAAGCCTGATGGGCAGGATGTTCGGGATGCTTTGGCGACAGCTAAAATGCTGAGGTCAACCGTTGAAGGTATGAACCAAGGTACGAATCCAGCATGTAAGTTCATGTGTAAGACTGAGTTCGGTTGTGCTCATTGCATTGCGCCCGGCATATCTGTCGGATGCCCAGCAAAGGGGAGCCGATCAGATCCTGTGATTGAAATGGAATGGATTGCCGACACTGGCAGTGCTCAGGATTTGATATCGAAAAACGTTCTCGGTGAAGTAAAGGATTTCTTGTCGGATCGGCCTATCAACATGATTACCGCCAACGGACCTAACTATGCTGACAAACAATGCAAGGTTAGGATTCCTTCGATCAATACAACCGCCGAACCATATGTTCTACCCGATTCACCATCCGTTCTCTCGGTTGGACAGAAGTGCATGGAGGAAGGGTTTGACTTTATCTGGAGAGCTAATTGTAGACCCTACTTCAGGGACCACAACGGGAACAAGGTTTATCTCGATGTGAAGGACAACGTTCCATACCTGAAGTCTTGGAAGGAAAATGTTGCGCTTCCCGCGCGACCACGTCCGGAGCCCAGCCTTCCTGCATCGCCGGTTGAGAAACCTGGCAAGTGTGTTGAGGAGTCAGAGAGGATTGCAAAAGAGTTACTTGAGAACCTTGACTTCCAGTGTAAGTCTTGTCTGAAGCTACTGCAATCTATGAACTGCAAGCCCTCCAAGAGCAATCGTAAGTCAATTACAAACAACCAGAGTCGCACCGACGGAAACGTCGAGTACCTTGTGCTTGGCGCTTTCGCTCATGGCGGCGTCCAGGGCATTACTAACCGTACGCAGAAGTATGCCCATTCTACCCGATACATCAATGCATTCCTCCAGAATCATGGAATGACGGGAGATTGCTCATCGGTTTGCATCAATCACGGTTCGTCCGTTAAGGTTCACAAGGATGCTCACAACATGAAGGATTCCACCAATTTCACTATCAGTCTTGGCAGCTTCGAAGGTGGTGAACTTTGGATTCACGACCCCGCTGCCCGAAAGGGAGAGCACAATGTCATCACTCAGAAGGTAGGGTTGAAGACTTTGTATGGCAAGAAACGTGTCTCCCGCAACAAACTTGTGAAGTTCGATCCCAAACGTTTTCACTGTGTTCTTCCTTGGAAAGGGGATAGATGGAGCATTACCGCGTACGTCAATCGAGCTGTTCCCAAGCTTCAGAGCAATGAAATTGCCAAGCTTCGGAGTTATGGGTTCAATCTCTCTAAGCGTACTGCGATTCCTGCCCTCGCTCCCGATTCCGAGGATGAACGGCCGCTTGAGGACCTTGTAACACGGGGTTCTGCGGTAAGGCCTTCCGAGCCTAGGACCAAGCCTAAGGTCAAGATTAGGGAATCGGAGAAAAAGAAAGAAAAGAAACCTCCTAAGTCCGATGTTGCCGAAGATGCATCTAGCAAAGCCGCTGAAGAGTTCGACAAGCTCCTTGAAGGTCTTGAAAAATCAGGAGCAAAGCAAACTGCTGAGCTCAGTGAGCAAGAGCATCTCAGTCGCATGATCGATGAGTTCGGCTCGGACATCGAACCTGATGAACCGCCCAAGCCGGATC